GATTATGTAAAATGAAACTCGAATCAAGTTAAAAAACCAATCTTACGATCATGATCTGTAATTTTAATGCGTATACAGTATTCCAACAAATAACGGATTTTGAACTAACATGTTCAGCCAAGCATAATTAACAATCATATACTGAATCAGTTTTAGAGCAGAGTTTGAAACTCAGCTTATGTGTGTGTTAAGGAACAGTGTTCGAGCGGGTTTCGAAGCACAAACTAACCAGTTTAAGCAGGATAACATCCCTACCTTAGATATAATTATTTTCATTTGGGACCCTTATTTGTAATTGTCCGGAGCGGAGTGGAGGACTTTACAGTCCAGACCTGTCACGGTTGCCCCTGTATTGTTGTCCAGATCGGTGGAAAGTTTTACCATTTAGACTGTGTACCCCGGTAACATATATAGTATACTTTGAAGACGTAAAAAAATAATCCTCTACAATTTCAACAAACGATGAAGTGACAAGAAAGTAATTAATAAAAAATAATGATACTGTGTACGCATTAGCACCTGGTGCTGTATTATATATCGCTGTTAAATTTTCTCTTTGAAAATTTAATATTGCCTTTAATATCTGAATAAATAAAAATTTTCTTGTTGAAAGTACTTAATAACAATTATTGTAATATGTAAATTACTAAAATAACAATGTTAAATGTAATTTTTTGCTCAACTTAAAATTAATGCAATTATTAATTACCCCGAACGTTATCAAATTTTTAATTATCCAGAATGCCATCAAATTTTTTATCAGCAATTATGCGTTGTTTTATTTATTTTAATGCAATTAATCATAATAATATCCGAAACATTCAAATTCGTTCGCTTTATTAAAATAACAATGTTAAATGTAATTTTTTGCTCAACTTAAAATTAATGCAATTATTAATTACCCGAACGTTATCAAATTTTTAATTATCCCGAATGCCATCGAATTTTTTATCAGAAATTACGCGTTGTTTTATTTATTTTAATGCAATTAATCATAATAATGTCCAAAATGTTCAAATTCGTTCACTTTATTTTATCTTTAAATGAGTCAACAGCATAATAATCAAGAAACCTCAGCGGAACGGAATGCTCACCTTGAAAGAAGACATATAAGGGATCGGTTACGTCAAGAAAGAGAAACCTCAGAAGAACGTGACTCTTGAAGAAGAAAAGATCGAGAAAGGCAACAACGGCATTGTGAATGAAAAATAAATGAACAAGCAGTCTTAGACACCACCCCAACTGAACAGCTCCCATTAAATAATATTCAGGAATTAACGCAATATGATAGACAACTTTTAGGTGAATTTCGTAATTACATGGCTAAACTCAAGAATTTGCATTGTTTCATGTGTAATAAATATTTTCCAACAATCAATCTTACTGGAAGTGAATGTCAACGCTGTTATAGTGATAAAGAGCAAATAAAAAAATTCTCATTAAAAAACAATATGGATCCAGGGGATGTACCTACTGAGTTACAAGGCTTGACCGATATAGAAGAGATGCTAATTGCTCAAGTGTTCCCTGTTATGTCAGTATACACTCTTAGAGGAGGTCAATATGGATACCGGGGAAATATAATCAATTTTCCACAAGACATTGCTGAATTTACCACTCGACTTCCTCATCATCCTTCATCTCTTGAAATTTGTGTTGTACGTTGGCAGTCTGAGGATGGGTCAACATTTAGAGATTTTAAAGTTCACCGAAGAAAAGTTGCACAAGCACTACAATGGCTAAAGGAAAATAACACCTACTATAGTAATATTACTATTGAAAATGATGTGCTCCAATTTTTAAAAAAAATCAGTATTATTTTAGAACAAATTCCACAGCTCAATAATAATCAACCTATTGACAAAATAGATCCTAATAATGTGAATCTAAGTGTAATTGAACAAGAAAGTGATGATTATGATGTAATAACAAGTTCTTTTGTTCCAATTTCTTCTCTCAGTAACTGTGAAAGACATGCTATCAGAAATGCTCTTAGTCATATGCAAGACAATCAACAAAATGAAGATACCACCATTAAATAGCCAAATATAGATAATAATCCAATTAATGAATTTCATACTGCAGGATATATGGCATGTGCCTTCCCAGCTTTATATCCAACTGGACATGCAGACTTGCATTTTGAATATATGAGAGAGGTCAAACCTAGCAAATCCAGCGTTACCAACAATCGAGGGCGCAGTCTTATGACCGGAAAAAATTTTAAGTTCGTTTACTTTAGGGTTAGGGCGATGCCTGGGATTTTAGTAAGGTATATTATATACATGCAAAATTTAGCAAGGAATTTTTTTTGTTAGAGCATAAAAGGCGGTTTCTTATGCAAATTTTCGAGAAATAGGCGATTTTTTCAAAATGAACGTTTGTTTTGAATTTTTCTGATCGTGTTACGTTACGCAAAATTGTGACTTATTATTGGCTGATCGTGTCGGAAGATCATGTGACTGCGCCCTCGATTGTTGGACTTTTGGTCAAACCTGCGAATACATTCAGCATCTATTAAAATACAAAGGTAGAAGGTTTGTGCGACACTCTAGATAAAGATACTTTACTTTAAATTCTATTATATATTGGCATGCATTATATAAAGGGTGAATATTTGTTAAACAAAATTTTAATGAAAATCAACTCACTGTTGCAGATGTATTAGAAATGGTTCAATTTGACAATTATCTGGCTGATAAAGTTATAAGATTTGGTGAAGGTATACAAGGAAGCTGACAGTTTTGGATGAAAAAACGTTCAGAACTGTCAGATATGATCAAGCAATTAGGCTTCAAGGAATGATATTTTTTACCTTTAGTGCTGCAGATTTACACTGGCCCGAGCTCCATGATATTATGCCCCGTGAAAATGACTCTGTAGATAGTGAAACTAATACAGGATCTGCAAAACATCATAGCCAAAATCTTATAAATAATCCTCATAGTGGCTTGGTTTTTTGAGAAACATTTTGAAGTATTTTTTTATAAGGTGTTGCATCCACACTGGAAATTAGTTGATTGGTGGTATTATTTCAAATAGCAATACTATGGTAGTGTTTATTTACACAGGATTAGTAAGAAATATGATGCTTCAGAATTTGATTGAGAGAAAATAAATGGTAATGAAAATAAAATGCGTAAAATTTTAGCCTACTTCAATGATTTGGTCACCATAGTTAACTCATATTTAGATGCGTCTATTCCCGATTGTCACCCATATCAGAAGTGAAATGACGAACTACATGATGATCTTCAAGATTATATTGAGTTGGTTAACAAATTACAATGATATACATGTTGTAGTTTATCATATTGCCTTCATGTTAATAACCGAACCAATAAACAAGAGTATAGATATGGATTCTCTAAATAAAATGTTGGGCATACTTTTATACGCAATAATAGCCAGGGCTAGCCTGAACTTGTCATAATGAGAAATGATCTCTATATTAACTCTCGTAATCAACTTCAGCTTCAAGGCTGGAGAGCAAATGTTGACCTCAAACCCATACTTAGTATCCATGCTGCTCTACAATATATTTGTAAATATACAAGCAAATCTGAACTATGGTCTACACCTTTTTCAGATTTGCTAAACCAGATACTTTACAATAATAATATTAATGACTCATCAATCACTCCAATTCAACATCTGCTACTTCATACTATTACTAAACATGATATATCTGCTTAGGAGACTTGCTATCTACTTCTTGGTATCCCACTCTATCACTCAAGTTATAGATTTGTTATGCTGAATCTTAATAATGATGCACCCCATTACTTTTGTAATACTAGAAATTGGAATAAACAAAATAATGTGTCAGACATTAATAGTTTTGGAAAAACAGCTAAATCTTCTTTGCAATTATATTGGAATTAACCCATAGAACTCGATAACATATTACTTTTTCATCTCTACTTAAAATATTATTTAGTTAATAGTTATTAGAAAGAATGCAAAAAATGTAATAAAGTTGTAAGAATTTGGCCACATCTATCTTCATTACGTAATGGCCCTAAATGAGAAAACTTTTGCTATATAAAAGTACTTCTACATGTACCTCATAAGTCTCTTCAGCAATTAACAAGAAATGATGCTATCTCTTGGGTAAATTTATATGCTCTCCACCTTACAGAAATAGAAGTGGATTTTGATGACTTACTCAGTCTCGCACTGGATAACTTGCCTAACAATAACAATCAGATTGTTGACAATGAAAATCATATAGTTGAAAATGACAAAGAAGACAAATTATTAGATAAATTTCGATCTAATTAGATGCACCTAGCAGAAATGGGCCCGAACACTGTCAATTATAATTTTAATCTCGATCTGAAAACACGTCATATGGACCAGAACTATGAGTGGACTGTTAGTGGCAAGCACTATGCAAATATTGATGTAGCAAACTTTGTACAACATGCCTCGATTGAAGATAGAGGTGCTAAAAATTTAGTTGCTATAACTATTAATGACCATACATTAAATGATATTCAACGAATTATTTTTGAGTGAATTAAGTTGCATTATACTAATCAAGATAGCAATTCGTTAAAAATAATTATTATGGATACAGCTGGAACTGAAAAGTCATACTTAATTAAAATAATCTGTGATCAACTTAATAACATTGCAATAAAACGTAATTCTAAATCACCTATACTTATACTTGCCCCAACAGGAGTTGCTACCTATAATATAAATGGTATTACTATTCACTCAGCACTCTCTATTCCAATTTTCAGAATGTGTCTTGATATAAACAGAGAAAAACTAAAACAGCTACAAAAGAGGCTTCAAAATATTAATTATATAATAATTGATGAAATGAGTATGGTAGACCACAGAATGCTTGCTATAATAGATGTGCGACTATGCCAGGCCTTCTCAGAATATAAAAATATACCATTTGGTAGCAGATTGGTAATTCTTGTTGGTGACTTTGGCCAGCTTCTGCCAGTTTGCGATCTTCCTATGTATGTA